AAATATATACTTTCGTGATCGAACAGAAAATTTTATGAGCATGTTTGAAATTTAAATGCATGTTCTATTCAGAACTGTTTTCTACCCTTGCAATAAGCAAAAATTGTGCAATCGGGTACTAGAGTTTTAAACGTAAATAACTTTGTTCACAGAATGGTCAATTTTATAGGAATGGTAAATTTCAGAACATGCTCAAGTTCTGAAAAGTTCAAATGAAGCTAACTCATCTAGGTAGTTAAGTTAATATGTGAAGTACGTTTCGGGCAGATTTTTTTCATATAGTTTTCTAGAAAAAATGTTTATTTTTTTCGGATTCGTGGTTTTTGGCCCATTTTCCGTCGCTTAATTTTCCGTTTTTTTTTTTTGAAAAAAAACATCATTTAAATTATCTGTTACTAATTTTTATCAAGCTGCCGTGGGTAGCATAGATTTTATTTTGATTCTAAATTTATTTTCAATTACATGAAACTTCTGTAATTTGTCATTTTACCAAGTCTGATTTTGAATTTTTTTGAAAGTTTCTTTTTTCGACCACATGGTTTTGGCTGATGTTGTATCGTCTTAGCCAACTTATTTTGCGCAGTGTTTACGGCCAAAAAACGTCTGTTTGACAAAATCAGGTGTAATTAAAATTTATAGGATTGAGTTTTCTATTTCTATTTTTGAGACGCTTTCGAAAGATTTTCACTTTTTGCTTAAATTTTGATTCAGTAGAAAAATACTCGACTAAACTTCTCAAAACGCATTTCAATCGAAAGACCGCCTACCTGCTTGTGTGCCTGCTTAATCCGCTCGTCTCTTTTTACTTTTTCCACATTTTAGCCTTTGAACGGTTTGTGGGAAGCTCTTTTCAATGTGGGGCTATGCTCAATTTTTCTTGTAAAAAAGTTATAGCCATCGGAAAAGTCAAGTTTTTGATTTTTGACCGTGTTATGAATTTTCTTGAACATTACCCGCTCAAATCTGAGATTTTGGTTTCATTCAAAGCAACAGGTGGTGTTGAACTCCCCTGCATAATTAACTACGCCCAATTGTGTGAATCTGAATTTTCTATTCAAGCGACTACGCCCAAATGTTTTTACACAAAAAGTTATTCTTCGCGGAAAAGTCAAAATTTTTATTTATTGAACGTTGTTTGGAAACTTTTTAACTTTTCTCGAAAACTACCCTGTTAAGTTTTCAGATTCAATCGAAAAACCTGGTTTTGAGAAACTTCTCTGCGTAAGCGGCTACGACCTTTTAGCATAAAAAAATTGCGGATTTCGGAAAGCCAAGTGTCTGTTTGTTGACCGTTGTTAAGAAACTTTGGATTTCTTAGAAACTATCGCATCAAACCTGAAATTCAGGGTTCAATCGAAAAAAAAAACCGGTTCAATCGAAAAAAAAACCCGGTGTATTTGGGAAGATTATTCTTCTCATTTATTTTCACTCTTCTCATTTAATTTAGCAGAGAAACATTTCAGGTTTTGGGCAAAGTCCAATTTTTCAAGTTAATCATTTCATGCCGCATCAGTATTACAAATTCCCAAATCATCAAACAGCTATCTCCAGCTTTAGCCGGCCCACTTGTTATCTTTTATCGATTTTGAGTTGCATCGCAAATGGTGCGAAGCTCGGCTTCGCCTCTGTGCTTAATGCTGGTTGAGTTTTTCCAACTCCGATTTCAGTATATCGTTTTTTTCCTTCATTTCTATCTCGTTTTTTTTCTGTCTATTCGGCTTAAAAGGTTTCATGTTATCTCATCATCTAAATTATTCGTCTATTATCTCAGCTTATAATATTGAGACGTTTGAGGAGCCAAAAAGTGTTATCTAATTGTTTCGACATGGAGGGGCTTAAAACTTATTTGAGCTTTTAATTTTAATAAAATTAAGTTGTGATAGTCATTCATTAATATATTGCAAGTGGTGCGAAGCTCTGTTTCGCCTCTGTTCGTTTTTCATCGGCCTACGTTTCTGAAGCTCTGAGCTATTTACCTAAATTTCTAACCATTGTATGTAGATCGATCGAATTTTGAATTCTTTTGTCGACAATTGTTTGGCTTCTTAGTTATGTAGCTATCGGTTGGAACTCTTTCGCTTAACTCTCAGAATGGTAAACTTTCTGCATGTGAGTGCGAGCGGTTATGAATTGATGTCATAATGAAGATTTTCGATGCTTGTGATTAATTTTAAAATTGACTGTGACTGATTGTTTTAAATATGTTGGTTTCCCCCTTCTCTGAAATAAATATTTTTAAGCTCGCTTTTTGGCTGAATTGAAATTTTTCTATTTTACTGGCAACCTTTTTGAATGTACTATCCTTACTGTGAAAGTCAGCTAATTTTTAAGTTTTGAACGCGAGGAAAATTTTGATAGTTGTAGTTGATTTTTTATTTGCCCTTGCGATCAGCAGGGTGTTGCAAACCGGTACCAGAATTTTTTCCCGTAAATAATTTAGTTGACAGGATGATTTTGGTGGTCATCTCCGAATATATACTTTCATTTTTTTGAGCATGTTTGAGTTTTAATTGCACGTTTTATTTGAACTTTTTAAATGTTGGTTATAATTTAAGCAACTCCAATTTCAGTTTTTTCTCGTTTTTATATCGTTTTTTTTCTTTAGAACTACTTTTAATTTTTTCGATTCGAAACAATTATTTTTCGGCGCAACGTGAGTCTGCTCAAGGTTTTTCGGCTTTGTTACCGCTTTGTAAGTTTTGTTTCGATGCTTATTATTTAACCTTCAAATGTCTTACTTCTTGGCATATTTTCTTGAAAGGATTTTTGTGCAAGTCATTTCAAATTAGTTTCCGAAATGTGCATATCACTTTGTATTCAGTAAATACTTGTCGCCCGAGGATTCTATTTGGGCAGAGTATGTTTTTTTTTTCAATAAGGTTTTACCGAAAACTTTTGGTTGATTTTCAGCTTCTTGGGTGTCGGCTTTAATTCTGTCGGCTGATTTTGTTTCCTACAAATTTTCGATTTTATTTATGAGATCGATAAGTTTTTAGACTCAAATTTTTGAATGCTCAAAATCACCCTCTTTTAGATCTCTTAACATTTAAATAAATTAAAAGATTAAAAACTTTTGATTTTTAATTTTTTTGTTTTTCTAGTTCTTCTTTTTTGTTTTTCTAGTTTTTCAATATTAACATCGTTTGAAGTCCTCTTTAATAGTTCGCGAGCGTCTTGCTGTTTTATTCCATTATTTGTTGTATCACAAGTGGTGCAAAGCTCTGCTTCGCCCCTGTGTTCAACTTCATTTCATTTTTCAACAAAAAAATCGACTGCAATGATTTTGTTGTAGCACAGCTTCTCATATCACGTTTTTTTTCTAAGTTTTATTAGTTTGCCAAATTTCAGAGGTTACCTTGCTTTTGAAATCAAGTAAGCCACTTTTTGATTGCTCAAGGTGAGGAAATGCACTTTTTTGCTTTAAGACTTTTGGACAGGCTTTGAGTTGATATGTTCTTCGTTTTTCTTGATTCATCTTGGAAGCTACTTTATGTTCTGCAGTAATTCAGTAATCTTCCATCTGGTTGAGCTTACAGTATCTTATCAAATATGTTCAAAAGAGCTAATCTGTTTTTTTTTCTGGATTTGAGAATGATTTTGTTTTCGTGTTGCTATTGTTTAATTTCTGTTCTGATGGTATTTTGATTTCAGTTTTCTGTGAAATTGAAAAAACGGGGCTTTTAACCTGAAGACCATGCTTGAGTCGACTAAGCTGCTGTGTTCAATTCTCTCGAAGCTGAAACTATCTCATTTTCTACCTTTTTCGGGGTATCGCAAGGAAGTCGCATGTGAAAAAACTTTGACGTAAAATTTTTGCTAACAGTTTCAAATCAAATGGCAGATGCTGCGCTATAAGCCCTGAGTTGAAGACCATGAATAAGTCGACAGAGTTGCTAGGTTTGCTCCGCTCGAGAGCCATTAATTTGTCGGACTATCGCATGTCTGCTTATTTTTCAAAGCCTGCAATTTTTATGAGTAATGAACGTAGTGAGTCTTCTTGTACAGGTCTTGATGAGTTTTTTTTCAGTAAAAAGTCTTATAATTTGTTCAGGCTCAAATTTACTTTACGCGGTTTGACATTTAGTTTCCCTTTCAGTTGAATTCATTTTGTTAAAAGGAAGGCAAACTCGAACTCCACTATCGAACAGCGAAAATTAAAGTGCACAAAAAACGTGATCAATTTCTAATTTCGAACATGGAATTTCATTTATCAGATTACCCAGCGAGTTGAAAGTTTTTCCTATTGAACCAGGCTTATATATAATTTTTAAAATTCGCAAAAAGGTTTTTTTTTAAAACGAGACAGGTTTTTTTCTGTTTCCTTGGGTTCCTACTCTTTTGCAACTGTGAACTGGCTAGTTCTTCTTATTTAAGCAGTTTTTATTATAACTGAAATTCAATTCCTGTAACTTTTATATTTATCTTGCATGATTCCTCACAATTTACTTTTTATTTTTTGAAAGCCTATAATATATCGCCTCAACTTCACCTCGGCTCAACGTTTGGCTGCCCAAGTATTTTCCTTGAGCTAGTTGAGATGCTGTTTTTGTGTTGTGTTGTGTTGCCTCTGTGTTATTCGCTGTTTTTAACTTTTTTCACTCAGCTAATTTCAGCAGCAAGGGCTTTTTAGTCCGATGATCCCTGTAGGTCCCAGAAAGAGACGTCAGATGGGGTCAAGTTATGTCATTATTTTCCATGCAGGTGATTCCGACTTTAAACAAGAAGTCTCAAAATAGATGAAATTTGTGGGCAAAACAAGTTTTATTTTCAGCAGCCGATTGGATAATATATAATCTATAATATCACTCAGATGTAAATTGATTTTATTAGTTTAATGCTATTAATTACTGTCTTATGTTGAGTTCTCTTCCATTTTTTTTTGATAATAACGTTCAGTGATACTTCACAGACACCAGCAGCTATCCCCGTTTTTGTCGAACTTTGTTTTCCGGAGTTTTAAGGTCCACAACCTAAAATTCCGAAGCATTCTTCAGTTGGCAATGATCAACTTCAAAGCAGTTGGGCTGACGGTATTTCCAATTGCATGTGGCTCTTTGAATGGAATTTTCTTCGGACCTAATCGTCACAACAAAGACGATTACTACAATAAGCTGTTAAAGCCTCCTTTTCAACCTCCTGGATGGATATTTGGGCCTGTGTGGACCACTTTGTATGGGATGATGGGCTATGCTTCTTACCGGATTTTGAGCTTGGATGGAAAAGCAGATATCTCCACGGCCATGACTGCCTATGGAGTTCAATTTGCTCTGAACATGTCCTGGACGCCTGTGTTTTTTGGCTGGCATAAAATGAAAACGGTGAATTTTTTTTTCAAAACGTGTGAAAACGTAAAAAAAATTGTGAATCTTAATTGATGATCTACAAGTGTATTTTTTTTCAGTGATCAGATGGGTTTTGATAATGATTCCCGTTATCGGTTTAAATAAAACTCTGAAGTGAAACATAGAAATTTTCGATCGGCAATGATGCTAACCTGAGGCTTTAATGCCATGTAAGCTCGATATATTTTTTTAATGTTCATTGGCAATTTTTTTTATGAAGTGACCCCTTAATTTTTCAGGGTGGTTTAATTTGTGCAGCGCTTTCGGCTTCCATCGCGTGGACAATCAAAGAGTTCCATGACTTGGATTTGGTCGCTAGCAGACTACTCTATCCTTACTTAGCCTGGAGCTGCTTCGCTACCGTTTTGACTTGGAGTCTGGTCTATCTCAACAAGGGAAACAAGGCCTTGAAAGAGGAATGAACAGAGCCAAAATAATATTGACGTTTAGTGATCATAATCAGGAGTTTGATCGCAGGTGCTTTTATATAATAATTAGTTAGATGAAGCCAAATCTTGTAGCCAAAAAATTGTACTCTTGAAAATTCGATCTAGCGGTACTTCAGATCTAGCGTTCCAAAAATCCGTTTTCTGTTATAAGCAAACCAAGATTTAGAAAAAAATCTGTGAAACTGAATTTGCCACAGCTATCAGAGCTTCTCAATAACTGAAAATGAGTGAAATTGATACAGTGTTCTGGTAAACATGAGTTTCAAACAAGTTTCCATTCAAATGTTTCGTTTTTTTTTTCAGAAAATGATGTTCTACAAAGCGCTGACTGCAGCCTGCTTCATTTTGACGCCCATTCTTCTGGGATCTCTGACGGGGTTCCTCTTTCGTCCCGATGGTCACTGGTTTAACAAACTCATAAAGCCCTCATTCAACCCCCCTGGATGGCTCTTTGCACCTGTGTGGACTACTCTATACGCATTGATGGGTTATGCGTCGTACAGAATCTGGACATTGAGGGCAACGAATGAAGTGGACAGTGCTATGACGTTGTACGGTGTTCAACTGGTTGTCAACATGATGTTCACTCCGGCCTTTTTTGGATTCCATAAACTTCTTCTGGTTAAATACAAGTTTTTTTCGTCATATAGAATGAGAATGCAAATTGTTTTTCAAACATGTCATTGTGTTTTTTGCTCGGTGGGAAGGAACTATGACGCGAAAAAGCTGTCTGATTGTTTCCTTTTTTTCAGACCAATATGATTTTCCAGTAAATTAATCGAGCTCTAGCATTTTTCAGCACTAATTAATTCGATCATAACCTAACTCGTACCCTTCTCAAAATTTACCAGACAATTCGGGTAAAAGTTATAATACATTAAAACAATTAAATCGATAGTTGTTACACCATTAGTACTGAGGGAATGTTAAGTCGTGTAACGGTTGTAACCCTTTTGTGGAAAAACTTCATGTTCAGGTCAGTTTTTTTTTCACGCATAAGCACGTTCACAAACAAACTTCAAAAAGGTTCAAATTATATATCGCATTGAAGCCTTTTAGTTATCATTCGAGCTATATTAAAAAACTTCATGAAGTTTTAGTGTCGACCAAAATTAGTTTCAAATTCTTTTTAAACAAGCGAGCTCAGTGTTGTATGTTGCGCGTTTTTTTCCAATGCAAGTCGCATGTTTCACTCTTGTATATTCTCACATTCTCTTGGTTAGCTATAAAAAGTTTATGTGACTTATGTAATTTTTTTTCCGTCAGATGCATGGCAAAGATCCGTCCAAATTTTCTTGTAAAAAATTGAATTGCGGCTGGAGAAAAATAACCATCCTGAACACAAATATTCCGTCATCTTTTTCGAAAGTCGGAACAAAATACTACTCTTTGGAACTGCATAATTTGTACAGTTGTGAAGTTTAGAAATTTTGGTCTACGTTTAGGAAAATTAAAACCGAAAGTTTATTGTGGTCTGTAATAAATTTTCCTACAATTTTAAAAACTGTAGTTTTTGAAGTTGTCCTCCTTTTCGTAATATCGTCCAGCTAAGAGTCCGTGAACATAGTTCAAATTTACTTTTTCGCGGTTTGATTATGATTTATTTTTAATTTCAGTTCATTTTTTGTTAAAAGGAAGGCAAACCCAACAATCGATTAGACAAAATGTAAAGCTCACAAAAACGTGATCGACTTCTAGTTCCGAAAGGTAGATTAATTTTCAGATTTTACAGCGAAACAAAAAAATTACTTGTTAATCCAGTTTTCTCAAATTGGGTTAATTTTATCCAAAAATGGCAATCCTAAATTGTTCTAAAAATTCAATGAGTTGTAGGGCCATCTATTTTTTCTTTGAACTTCGAAAGTTGAGATTTTTTCAAAAAAAAAACTATTTCTGTGTTTATTTGCAATCATTGACTCTTTTCCAACTGTATGTTGACTATAGTTTGCTTGTGGAAACTTTTTAGCTCTTGGTGAAGCTACTTCTTTTTGAGATCTCTTTAACTGTCCACCCTTTGCAAAAGGGGAGAGATTCGCTACTACGCACAAAATTCACATGTGTGTGCTTAACGATTGAATTATTTCTTTATAGGGGTGGCAATTCGTTGCTAGGTATTCTAGGGGGGAAGTAGTTAAAGATACTTTTTTGAAGCTACGCCCTGTTTTGAATCCATTCGATTTCAGAGAGCAATCTTTCCTTTCATTCGATAATCAAGAAGGGCAAGTTTTTACGATCTGTTTTGAATATATATGTTATTTTCCTTTTTTTCCATAACCAAAACAGGCAAAAAACGCTTGAGAGACATGATTGATATGTGAAATACTTGGTCGTTCACAGGCTGCAATCATCTGCACTTTTGTTGCTGTGCTGATTGTCTGCACGATGACGGTCTTCTACTCGATCGATCAAATAGCGAGTTTCCTTCTTCTTCCATATTTGGCGTGGAGCTCTTTCGCAACAGTTCTATCGTGGAGTATATTCTACCTGAATATAGGCAACGACGATCTGCTTCACTGCTAGAACAGTCGATAAGCGGAGCTAACATGTACAGGAATACTAACTGCTAGTCTAATACTACCGTTAAAGGATATTTTCTCACTTATAATTTTGGCTCAGAAAGAAAGTTAACACTTCGCGAAAACTGCACTTCCAGGAAAACGACCATTCCTTTTAACGGTTGATCTAATTGCGCTTCTTGTTATCAGAGATTTTCTTTAACCCAAGTATAGTTGCCATTAATTAGTAGAGTTTCCATATTTATTTTTTACCTAGAAGAAATATAATTTACAGTGTTCTTAAATGTTGGTGAAAAATGTATATCTGAGTAATTCATTCGAATGACGTCCAGAGACTTTTAATGAGTCATTTCGTTGCTGCCGTCCGTCAATTCAACCAAGACGCAGACATTAATTGCTCTCTGAAGTACGTTTTTCAGTTATTACTCTTGCAAAATAAGTTCTAGAAAGAGCTAATCAAATGACCTCCAATCAGCGACAGACATTAATCATTATTTAGCATTATAGTCATCCGAATTTTTACGTTGATTTATAACAAATTAGTTCAGTTTTGAGTTAAATAACTAAATTGTATTTATTGTATTTTCATCTACCATAAATATTCTCTTCTTACATTTTTGGGTTCAAAAGCCCTTTTGTATTGAGTTATAATTTTTCAGAGCCGTTATGAGCTCTAGGAACTCGAGTAGTCCCGTTGACAGTGTCAACTTACCCATGGACGAAAGGAATGACGAGAACAGGTCGTTTATGAAAGATCTGAAGAAGGAAAACGGTGCCATTGCCACTGAGCTGCGTTGCTCCGGAGACACATACAATGGTGACGTAATGGTCGACGACATCCGAAAAGACTCGTCTGCGTCTAAATCCACGTATAAAGTACATAACCGACGTCGGCATTGTATCTTAACTGTGCGAAAAAATATTGCGAAGTTCTTTGAGTCGCCAATCTTCAAGCGAATATCAGCAGCCGTGCTCCTGATTTTGTTAGGAGTCTATCTGACATTGGCGTTCAGACGGAGTGTGAAAGAGCCATTAGTTTTGACGATAATGGCGGCCATTTTTATTGCCTACAAAGTATTCGAGCAGGTTAAAGATACAAAAACGTTGCAGTCGCTGAAGAGCATATTCCTGGAATTTGCCAGAGATGTCAATCTAAGGCGAAAATGGAACTTCATCAAGTGTGTTTTGTTGGGTTTATCTTGGCTTATGGTTTGTTGTTTTGTCGCGCATTCGTGCTACTGCTGTCCGAGAAACTCGGTGTCCTTCATTGGGCTCGTGTTTCTGCTTCTCTTTTCCTGGCTGATTTCTCGAAACCCTCTCAAAATATCATTGCGTATCATTCTGTGCGGACTGAATTTGCAGTTTCTAATGGGATTGCTGATTACTCGAACTTCATTTGGAGCTTCCATTTTTGAGACGTTGAGTGAGGGAGTTGACTTGATTCTGAAGTTTTCAGAAGCTGGAAGCCAGTTTATATTCGGCGCTCTGGAGACTGGTAACATCGGCAACGGAACGTCAATTGGAGTGGTTCCAAACCAGGCATATTTCGTATTTGCAATCCACGCTTTGCCAGTTATTGTGGTCTACTGTGCTCTGGCTAATGTGTTGTACCATTTTGGTATCATGCAAGCGGTTATTAGAGTCATATCTCTATTTATGATAGAGACGATGGGGACCTCTGCTCCCGAGACGCTCAATGCTGCTGCGAATATTTTCCTAGGCCAAACTGAAGCGCCGTTTCTGATCAAACCTCTAATACCCACTTTAACCAGCTCAGAGCTACATGCGGTAATGACCGGCGGGTTTGCAACTGTTGCGGGCGCTGTGTTAGCAGTATACAGTGGCATGGGTATCGACTCGTCAAATTTGATCGCAGCTTCAGTTATGAATGCGCCGGCAGCACTCGTTTTTTCAAAAATTGTCTACCCTGAATCAAAAAGCAAAGAAGAAATAGCGGAATGTGAGCAAAGAATGGAAACGGTGAAATTTAGAAATGTGTTTGTTGCTGCGGCTAAAGGAGCGAGCGATTCCGTGATGTTTGTTCTAAATGTAACGATGAACTTGATCGCTTTTGTCTCACTCTGTGAAATGGTCAATTATATTGTAGCTTGGAGCGGAGATTTGATCGGAATTGAGGAGCTGAGTTTTGCCAAATTGTCATCCTATGTTTTTTATCCCTTGGCTTTTATGATTGGCGTCGATTACCAAGATTGTTTCAAAGTCGCAGAATTAATTGGAATCAAAACAACGGTCAATGAAATGGTCGCGTACCAGAAGTTGAGTACTTATGAAGGTCAGATCAGCGAAAGGTCAACAACTCTGGCTACTTTTGCTCTATGCGGTTTCGCAAATTTCGCTTCCTTGGGAATCCAAATAGGAGGAATCGGTGCTTTGGCGCCATCGAGGGTCGAGGAACTTTCGGTTTTGGGTCTAAGTGCGCTTTTATGTGGTAGTTTTGCGTGTTTCTCAAACGCATGTATCATGGGACTCTTATATCAGTCTAGCTGAAATGTTTCTTTTTGTATTTTTGCTTACGTGAGTTGTGGAAGATTTTTGAGATGATATTTGGTGATTGTTGTTTCTTGATAAATTGCCAGATAATTATGCTAGAAACAAGTGTTCATTTGAGCTGCTAGTAGATTAGAGTAAACCGTTTTGTGCTGTTTGCAAAATTCTTCTTTTCCCGGAGGCGTGAGGAGTTCTGTTATAATAATCTTGGAAACATCAGCTGTAAATAGAATTTCAGCTGTAATTAGATTGAATCTATCTGCTGCAGATCATCTTGCAATATAAAGTGTAGTGATTTATGCTCATCTGTCATCGCTTTATTGCAATTGTATGCTCTCAATCTGGTCACACTTCGAGTAGTTTGATTGTTATAGTGTCAAAAATAAAGTGTAATTTTATCATTGTAAAGGATCTTGCTTACTCCTCCCTACTGCAAGAGGTGTTTCTGTAAAAGATTCAGAACTCGTATGTTCCTCAAAGATGAATCGGATCTTAAGGCCTGAGTTGTTGGTACTAGGTTCCGTTAGGGGGCATTGTAAACAAGAACCAGTGTCTCATTTATTTTAATTTCATTTTTCGGTGATTCATCCTGGTAGATAACGATTAATAACTCTTTGGTGGTCTGTCATAGTTGCACAGCAACCAGTTACTCCTCTTTTTTTTTTAAAAAAAATAAGATTGAATTAGTTTTTGCATTACCGAGGAGCTTGATTGCCGGCAATCGCAACATAATTTTGCTTATTGTGGTATTTCACTTCTAATATTTCCTCCCACCACACTCCTAATTTTCTGATCATAATCCAACTTAATGATTTGTTGGGTTTAGTGCCTTGAAAACCGTCTAACTTTACTTGATTTTTTAATTTATAGTTTTGTATCTTTCCTTGTAATTGTTAAGTTGTTTGCATTCTAATCATAGTGCTGGTTCATGTTGATTAAGTAAAATGGATCTCTCAAACAGTTGTCCTCAAATTCAAAATGGTCAAATTCGTAACAGTTCAGTGCCTGCTGAATTAGTCCTTTGCCAGGGGAGTCTCTGCAATAGTACAATAGTGTACCATGAAGGGGGATTGTTGGAGTGATTCATTAGTTTGCCCAATCTTGGTATAACAATTTTAAATGTTTTCATACTATGTTTTCCGAATAAAGCTGTCTATGGTCTAAATTACATTGAATTGTTCTGACTGGCTGAACTTGTTCAAATTTTGGCGCCCTTTTTGATTGATTCGTTGCTTACTACAAACCAATTTCAAAACTTTGCTTATTCGAAGAAGCCTATTCCGAGCCTGAAATTGTGCCATGTTGTTTGAATGGTTCAGTCGAATGAAGCTAAATCAATATAGCTTGCAATAAATCCGAAACTGTATTTACCATAAGACGAGTAAGAAAGCGCTGCAACTGGGGTGCGTCCAATAAACCGAAGTGTCTGTTAATTACCAGATCAGTAATACGAATTATGTAATAATTACAGGAAATAAGAGGAAGCAAAAAATTAAAGAATTGGTTTTTTGAGCTATAAAATTTGTTTTAAAACAGCGGGGCTCATGGCAAGAGTAATTTAATTTCATTTTTTAATTCGATTTTGGAAAAAAAAGTATGTCATTTTCAATCTCAGGAGTAAACTAGTGAGATCACCCAATAATGCATTTTGAATAATGCATTTTCGGTTTACTGTTCTGGTAAGACCGTTTTCGGTTTAATGATACATTTACTGACTTATCTCTGTTGCAACTGTTACACCGAATGGCAGGTTTCGCAAACTGACTTTCTCGCAAGTGTATTTCGAATTGGTTCGTGTTATAACTTATTCATGCTTACTTGATTCTAAATTCGAGGATATTATAAGCTGACCAATCCATGTAATGTTCTATGGCATGCTTTTACATAGCTGAATTATTTATGTTGATTTGTACTCTTCTTACCTTGGTCGTTACATTAATAGATTGAGTGTCGTTTCCATGTTGCTGCGCTTTTAGATGCTTATGTTCTGTCATGCTCCGTTGGAACCTTGAATAAACTACGTATAGATAATTCATTGTTCTGGCGTTGACTGTTTTGAAGGTTCTGTAATGAATTAGTCTCAATATTTTTAATCACTCAAAATGATTTGCATCATTCAATCTTTAGCCGTGAAAACATAAAAACAGTCTGAACTAGTTATATGGCAGTGAATTTGAACTAGTTCAAAAATGGAACTAAAGTATATCAGGAAATGAACCTGGAGAATATTTTTTGTGAATGAAACCTGCCAGGAAATGAGCTTAACTAGGAGTTAAATTTGGTACTAGTGACTCAAGTATCAGGCGTTGTCATCTGTCATTTTAACTTCGCTTCAAACGCAGATAAAAAGATTTCAAGTTTTTCATAAATTTGAAAAATCGCTTAAAAGTCTTTTCTTGAGCAATATTGAAAGCTTGGTAGTACTATAATAGAAAGCTCCCACGAGCTCACATTTGTCATTTTTTAAATCTTCCACCTTAAGATTATGAGGGGGCAGGTTTTACGAAGTAAGAAAACATAAAATTTGTTTGAAAATAAACTGCGATATCTTTCTGAATGGCGAAATCACAATTTCAGAGCCCTAGGTGTCTTATTCTCAAGAGACCTGGTTATTTTCAAAGGAACACTCTATCATAGTAGTACCGAAAGCTTTTCATTAAAAAATGTGATTTAATAAGCTCAGCTTCTCTGAAAATGCTGATGACCTGTTTTCTGTTCTGTTTTTAGTATAGGACATCAAATGAGTTGGAGAGCGGGCAGCTATCAGAGCTGCATAAAAATCCGATTTAAATTTTAAAAAATCAAATGAATCGGATTTTTTATTGGAATCGATTTTTTCTTTAAAAACTGCTTAGTATCTTAGAAAAAGCAGTTGACCAAATTTCAGTTTTGGTTTAGAGAGAGTCGAAAAAGTTCATTTGATGCAAGCAGAAAGTAAACTGGAAAACTGGCGGGTAAAATTTGTGTGTAATTGAAAAACACACCACTAACTGAGAAAAATTGGGTTTTCTCACCTATACTTTAAACGAAACAAAACCATTTCATACAATCAAGATTTAACTCGGATTTAAATCAATTGATTTAAATCAATAATTTAAATCAATTGATTTAAATCAAGTAACCCTGGCAGCCATTGAATTAAATCAAAGAGCTCGTGGAAAATTTTTGAGGAAAATTTTGTAGCCCCTGTTAATGGCGATATCCATCAAAAATATCAAAAATGTGAACTTCACTACATCTTATTACCCTTGCGATAAGCAAGAGAATTGCAACCGAGTGCTAGACTTTTTTCCCGTAAATAGTTTTGTCCTCAGGACTCATCTGGTGGTCTGGATTCATCTCTACCTTGTTTCATAATGTATTCAAATTTTCTAGCGTTTCTGGCCAACTTAGCCTGGAGGTAACGAATATGCATGGAACGGCAAAGGTCGTGGGTTCGAGTCTGACCTGGACCGGTTTTTTTTTTCAAACGAGAAATATTCAGTTTCACAAAAACATATCGGCCAATTATTTGTCTGCTTATCTGTTGTCGGCTTAATTGCCACATCTTGCAATTGTTATTTTTTTTCTACGCGCATTTTTTAATGTTGGTTTTAGTGTTTGATTTACGCCTACATTTTGTAATTTTACTTACCTTGACTTCATATTTCCTTCTTAATTTTTTTCTTGCGCTAAAAAGTATTCCTCGACAAAAACTATTTCGGCCTATTTTTCATCGGATGAATGACCTAATTTTCAAGATCAATACAATTTTAACACTCACCTCTCCACTTGTGTTGAATGTGTTTACCAATCTGTTTGTTGAAATTTCATTTTTTTCGTTTTGGAAAATTGTTTCAATTTTTTGCGAAAACTTTAGTTTGTCTCAGAAACTTCTCATCATTTTCTAGCACTCCCCTATCCACTTTTTAAGTTGAACGTGTTTACCAATCTGTTTGTTGAAATTTCATTTTTTTCGTTTTGGAAATTTTTTTTCAATTTTTGCGAAAATTTTAGTTTTTCTCAGAAACTTCTCATGATTTTCAATTTGAAAGTTTGCTTATTTCTCTGTGTGCATGCATACAACCCAAGAGTCGTTTCATACTTGAGCCCTCTGTCTACAGCCTTCGAAAAAGTTGAGGAATATTTGACCCATATTTTTGATTTTTTTCTTTCGTTTTCTCGAAAACTACCTCTCTTAAATGTGAGTTGTTGGTTTCAATGGACAGAACTTTTCTGAAATGCTCCCCAGCGTAAGTGCCTACGACTAAATTTTTTAGCACTTAAAGTTATGGCCCTCGGAATACAGCCATTTTTCTGGTTTTTGACCGTTTTGTAGATCTTTTCGACTTTCTCGAAAACTAACCTCTCAAATCTGATATTGTGAGTTCAATGAGATAACAGATAGTAGGAAGTTCCCCTGAATTAGTGAGCACTAAGAAAAAAATTTTCAAAAGAAGTTATCGCCCTCTGAAAAGTCAAATTTTGAAAGTTATCGCCCTCTGAAAGTTTGAAAAAACAAATTTTTCAAACTTTTTGAGTATTCTCGTAAACTACTCTGCCATACCTGAGATTCTAGGGTTCAATTCTCAGAACGGGCTTCGGGAAGTTCATTTGCCCATGCGACTACGCACAAATTTTTTGACTCCAAAACTTTGCCCTCCGTAAAGAAAAAGTTTTGATTTTGACCGTTTTTTTAAAAAGTTTCTGACTTTTCTGGTAAATTACCCTCCCAAACCTGAGATTTCGGGTTCAATCGAAATTGCAGATTGTGTGAATCCCTTCTGAATATTGTTTCTGCTTAATTTTTTCACACTAAAAGCTATGATTCTCGGAATCGTCAAATTTTTGATTTGTTGACCGTTTTTCACTTTTCTCGCTAAGTATGCTGCCAAATTTGATATTGTAGGTTTAATCGAATGAACAGGTTGTTGAAAGCCTAGCTTTCAAATGAGCTATGACCAGTCTGTTTTTAAAAGTTTTTTGGCATACAAACAAGTCAAAGTTTTGGAATTTCGACAGTTTTTTTGAACAGTTCTTCACTTTACGCGAAAACTACCGGGCGAATTCTCAGGTTGTGTTCAATCGAGAAACCCGGCTTTGGAAATCTTCTCTGCTTAACCAGCCATAACCTGATGTTTGCAGAAAAACGTTATGGATTTTGGAAAGTATTTTGAACGTTTGTTAGAACCTTCGACCGTTTTTTCGAAACTTTTTGTATTTTCTTAAAATTTACGCAATCAAATTTGGGATGAAAAGTTCCATCGAAAGAACGGTTTGCAATAACTGTAGCTGCAGAAGCAGCGATTCCCTAATTTTTTGTACGAGAAATGTTATACTCACCAAAAATTTTTACTCTTCTCACTTATTATAGTAGAGAAACAACTACTGTTTTTGGCAAAGTCCATTTTTTGAAAACACTATTTTCGTGCCGCATCATTATAGCAAACTCATTCAATTTTAAACAGGTACCTTCAGCTTTCACTGGGCCTGTATTTGGTTTTTATCGAGACCTAATTAAAATTTGGTTCACCTAGTTTTTTTTCAAAATTAAATTTTTGTTTCGACTTATGTTTTTTTTATGTTTGTATTGTATCGCAAGTGGTGCGAGGCTCAGCTTCGCCTCTGTGTTTGTTTTTGTTCTCAAAAATTTAGAAAAATTAAACTTGTCTTCTGGAGTGCTTTTTTACAAATTTGTTCTGAAAAATGAAGCGATGTTTTGTTATACAGCGAGATCATAATGTTCTGACGTGTAATATGGTGAGCAAAATTGAAGCTAAAATTTGAAAAGCGGTATACAAAAAGCAAGTTATCGAACAGTTTCAGAACAGTTTTTCCGGATTTTTTTTTGCCCAGAATCTTGATGTGAGTTGGAGTTGATGTATTTTTGATTCAACAAATGAACCAAAAAAGCTATTTGTTCTAAACAAAGAAACTTGTTTTCAGAATTTTCTAACTCAACATCTCTTTTTGAAATGCATAATTTATACATAATGTGGCTTTATGCTTTGCGATTCATTACATGCAAAATTGTGTTTTTTGTATTTGGTGCTATTTTTGCTGCATCAAATTGGCATTTTATTAGCATATAATGCTGCGTTTTTTGGTGGCTAGTTTTTAGGGAGTTTAAGCCTCCGTGGCTGAGTGGTCAGTGCGTGAGAATCAAGTTTGCTAATTCGCAGATTCAAACCCGACACGTAGACGAGTTTTTGTATTCGAGGCTTATTTCCACTTTTTCTTATGTCACTTGATGGAGCTGCTTTGTGGTCGTGTTTGAAGTTGTCTCTTCTACGGTTACAAATTAGGCCTCAAAATAAAACTGCTCAAATCCTTTTGTTTTCCGAGTTATGACGTTTTTTTTTGTTAAGGAAAAATTTAGATTAAACAACACCAAAAAATGAAATTCGCTACCCTATGCTGGCTGGGGTGTTATCGGGTGCACTCACAAGTGGCAAATCTGGCGTCCAAATTTTTTGCTCAATTCTTTCTGTTTTTCGAGATATGGCGTTTTTAATCTATGTATACCATATTTAAATGCGAGTGTCACGTATCTTGCCATGTTTAAGCGTTTTTTTGCATTATTTAAGGGCATAACGTATCTATGCGTTGTTCAGTTATATCGCATATTGCTATGCGTAAGAAGTTTTAACTATATTTAAGTACTTGTGACATGTATTTTGCTATGTTTAAGCGATTTTTTTTACAGCAGTTAAGAGCATAACGTATCTATGCGTGGTTAAGCTAAATCGAATATTGCATTTGGTAAGAATTTTTTTCGATTTTCCAATCTGAATCTAGTGTTTGTTCCACCGAGTTAAAAGTTAGCAAAACAAAAGTGGGATGCTGTCAGAGTTTCCCCAGGGGTTGCGAGTTTGGTCTTCAGTTAAGAAAGCCCAAATCCATTTAGCCTACAAGATAAGACAATTTTTGTGTTTTTTTCCAAGTTTTTCAGAAAACTCAACATATAAAACGTTTTACAAAAAATTTGAAATTTCCACTCCTTCACTTGGGAGCTGTCAGAGTACTCTCAAGGATTGCGAATCTTGCTTCCAAATATGACTGCTCAACTCCTTGTAGTTTTCGAGGTATGACGTGTTTTATGATTTCTTATTTTTTTAATTAACTTAGATCTAAAAAATCAAAAGATTGAATTTCCTAATCTTGCCGTTGGTCATTGAGGGTACTTTTAGGAGTTTCAAGATATAAATCTTGCGCCCAAATGCGACTGCTAAAATGCTCTCAGCTTTCAAAAAATCTTACATTTAAAAACTTTTGTCGAATTTTGGAATTTTCAAACCTGTATTTGGGGGCTGTCAGAATACTAACGGGGGTTGCGAATCTCACTTCCAATTATGACTATTCAAATCTTTGTAGCTAACGAGATATGATGTGTGTTCTGATTTTTAAAACATTTTTAAAACAGTTTCAGAAAACTTATTTTCAATTTTTATTTCAAATACTGAAATTGCCGACCTTTTAGTTCTCTCGAAGCTTTGCAAATCTTTTCCCAATTATGACTACTCAAATCTTCTTAGTTTTCGAGATATGACGTTTTCTGCGATTTTTCCAAAAAAAAAATTTAGCCAACTTAATTTGAATTTTTTTTCAAATTTTAATGAAATTTGAAGCCCTATTCCTTGTGATGGGAGAAAGGACTGTCAGAGTATTTTCAAGGGTTGATAATCTTGCTTCCAAGTAT